CTTAGTCTGGCCCTAATAATCCATCTTTCATAAGGTCCCAAGAAGAAATATTTTTGGAGCATTAGACATTGTTCAAATCTCCCAATAAGAGAATTTTCTTTCATGCCAGTGTACCTGGATGAAAGCATGCACTACTGTTATTCCCCACATGGTGGTGCTACATGCTATAAATGCTCTCTTCCCCCTTTCCTGACTTTTTTCCCCCTTAAATCTGTCCCTCCCTCCAGGTGTACGCTCATGCTGGAGCGGTGCTGGACGGCAGGATTTATGTGGCGTGTGGCCGTAGAGGAATGGCGTACCTCACAGAGACTTACTGCTACGACCCTTCCACCGACGACTGGACGGCGTGCGCTGAGGGGCCGGTGGAGCGGGCATGGCACGGCATGGCTGCCGCGAACGGCCGCGTGTACGTCATCGGAGGAAGCAATGATCAGCGCGGATATCGGCGTGACGTCCTGCAGGTACGTCATGAGTCATCAGAGATGGTTTCCTTGGTGTTTTTTTTTCTTTTTCTATTTGACCATTAAACTGATGAAACGTCGGATTCAAATCACTGATTATTACAGTTTAAGCTCTTCTATGAGTGAAAACTCATCAGTTGCTTCCTTTTTTTTTTAACAATTTTTTCTAGTTGGCTTGCTTTGACCCAACACCAAACTCTTGGTCGTTATTGACCCCTCTCCCATCCGGACACGGAGAACCCGGGATCGCTGTACTGGACGGCCGCATCTACGTCCTGGGCGGGCGCTCCCACAACAAAGGCAACAGGATGAAGTACGTTCACGTCTACAGCACTGACACAGGGGAGTGGGAGAGCGAGACTGAATTTAGCAAGCGCGTCTCCGGCCTCGCCGCGTGCGTTGCGCTCATGCCCCCTGCTGTGATCGCTCAGGCCCGCTGCTGGGACCAGTACACCAAGGCTTCGTCGGATGACGCGGACATAGACAACTCGGAGGAATCCAGCGAGGACTGAACCAAACTCACCCGCCGTCCCGCGTTTTTCTGACTCAGAACAGGAAACAGGATGTCTGCACTGAGCGGACGGCGCACTGATGACTTTTCGTGCCTCTGGTTGAGCTTCATAAGCACCTTTGCACACTTTTTTGTTACTTTTTGAAACTCATGGTACCGCATTCCACCTAGATATCATAACCACCTGAAACACTCATCCCAACTGGTCGTGGCTCCTGTCTTTATTTTCTCCGTATTCTTTTAATTTTCTGTGTATCTTAAGGATTAATTAAAAACAGACTGGTGTTTTCAGCATTTAATTTCTGTTAATTATGATGGTTCTCTAATTGCAGCTTATAAAAACATGACAATTATGACTGGAATGTTACACCAGACCTATAAAAAAACATGTTTAACACAGAAAAGAGGTTTTAATAAAAGGTTAATCTGCATAATGGCTGTTTTCAAAAGATAATGAAGTCTCACTGGAACGCATTTTCTTTCTTTTTACGTTAGCACCGATTGAGCATAAGCAATTGATCACTTTTCAAAATATTTCTGTGAACAAGCCTAACTTGTTCAATAAATTTGACGAAGCCTGTCATAATACAAAGTTTTGACCCACAAGTTATTGCGATAAACGATAACATTGTTGTTTTGAGACCATTTTTAAGTAATACAGTAATGGTAAAATGCAAAAACACATTCTCAAGGATGAATAAACTTTCAGTTCTAATGAACATTTAACTCTGGACCTGGGGGAAATTTAGAAAATAAATAATAAAACACAACAACAAAAGTATCAAATTAATGAATTTTGAAATCTCTGTACACAAAATTGTTCTTCCAAAGAAGTGGCTAGTTGAGACCAAAGCACCAGACTGAAGACGATTTTGATGGTAAAAAAAAAAAGGGGGGAACAAAAGAGGACGATAAATCATGCAAATGGATCATTTCTCAGGTTTTTGCTTGCGTTGCATGTCTGTTACGATGTCTGCGCCTCGTTTTTCTCTGCTGCCAGATCTCCACAGCTGGCTGTCCTCATCTGAACTTCCCCTCCTGTTAACTCGAGCTTTTTGGTACCACCCAGTCTCCACCAGTTCCTTTCCATTTGGCTTTATGAAGGCCGACTGACTGCCGCTTTCCTTTTCGGGGCTGTTTCATCTACATCTGTTGCCCCCCCCACATCCACACACACACACACACACACACACACACACACACACACACACACACACACACACACACACACACACACACTCCTCCCTACCCCTTGCCTCTTACCTCTGTCCCTCCTTCTGCTTTCACACTTTTGTGCCAGCCTCCAGCAAGTTATCTGCTAGGATCTGCTGACAGCAGCACTGGACATCCAGGATCAACGGTCCGCTGTGTTTATGTGCTTTTCCGCTTTGTTTTTGTTGTCGTCCAAAGTTGTAGCACCACCTGGGGGATACTTAAGACACATGTTGAGCACTTAGCCACGTCAGCGGTCTTTACAAACATCTTAGTGCGGGTCGATCCGGTGCTCTTTGCAGAGCAATTAAAAGGGCCACATTAGGCATTGATGTAGAGCTATGCAGATTGAACCCACTGGAGTTGAGAAGGGTGTTTGCGAGTCAGGGGAATTTACTCTTCCTCCCCCCCCCCCTTGCTGCGGCAGAGTGGAGAAGGCCGATGGAAATCGATGGGGGAACAAAGCAACGTTCATTTTCCTCCAGGGAATCCGCCGATTGACATGGTAGCTTCCCAGCGTGAACAGAAGCCATAAAACGCCTTTCTTTGAAACTGAAAAACTTCACTGGCATCAGTTGCAGTGATTTGCTTTAAACTGCTGATTCGAGGTCCTTTTTCTATAATTTGATGCTGAAAGGTTTTGCATTTTGCTTTTACATTCATAATTTGCAATCCTACTCAGGGCTGTCTGCAGCTTTATAAATTAATTTTACTAGATTGTCAACCCATGTCCCTTAATTCAGTAAAATTACAGTATTAAAAACAAACTTACAAACATCCCTGTAACTTTTCCGCATTTTTCTGCACGGATTCCAAGCTCCTTGTGCCGATTATTTGTCATACACTTAAAACTTACGTTGGATATATATATACAAGCCGTGCAGTGGTGGCAGCATCATGCTCAGGGAATGCATTTCTGCAGCAGGGACTGTGCCACACATTTCAGACTGAGCCAATGGTTCCCAGTTCAGTTGGGCGACGACTCTAATCCCAGAACCTTGGTGCTTAGTTGAGATCAGATTTGTTAGAATGACCGAAGTTAAAGACCCGTCCTAGTTGAGAGTCTGTATCAAAATAAAACAGGCAAAAACCTCGGTTTATATGTCTGTTTAGTGGTTGTTCTGCTTCAAATAGCATTTACACTGAGCTCCACTGTTTCCTGTTGTCTGACTTCACTCTGGAATGTGAAATAGTTGGACATATATTCGGTCATTTTTCTTTTTCTTTTTAAAGGGGCAGTATTATGTGTATTTTAATCACGTAGTATCATCTTATATCACAATCAAGTAATTATTCCCTTCGGTTATGAAAATGCTGTATATGTATCAAACATGACTTAAGAAGAAATGTTACTTTTCAATTCGAAAAGTCTTGAAATTGGGCTTCTGTCACTTTAAGGAGTTCCTGCTCCTTAAAGCTTCACATCAACACGTTTTAACGTTAAATGTCAACTGGAGCACGGAGATGAAAGGATTTCTCACATGCATGAAAGCATCAAGGCAACTTTCCAGGAATGTTTTTGATTATGCAGAGCTAAGAAGAAAAAAAAAAGATAATACCGCCCCTTTAAATAGAGATCATTTGCATCAAGGAAGTATGTTATTAAATAATAGCACGAACATACTGGGATTATTACTAATATGTCACATTTTCAACGTAGAAGGGTCTTCACAGACGCCTGGGAATTCAGTCTAAATTTGAAATTCAAACTTTATTGTTAAAAGTCTTGGTGGTTTCGCCTGCCTGAAGGGAGTAGATGAGGAAGCTCGGACCTACAGAGATGTGTAAAACCCACATTACACTAAATTGCTCCCCACCCCCAGCGCCCCCTGCTGTATTTTACAGCAGTCATTAGCAACTCATATCCACTAAGGCTGAAGGTGAGAGGCCTCGCTTGTGTTTCCTAACAGTGGAAAGGAGCCATTTTCATGCTTTTTAAGGCTCATTGACATGGAGAACGGGGGTCGTGCGGTGCTTTACGCGGCATTGGGTAAACCTCAGCAGGTGAGCCGGAGTCACTTTAATGCATGCCGGCCCGTCCGAAAAGACAGAGCAACCCCCCCCCAGTGCAAACACAAACAAGCGGCACCAGCGACTCTGACTTGCGCGAGGCGGCGGGTGTTTTTCAGCAAACTTTCTGCAGTGCAGAACTTTACTGGATCAAAGCCGAACATCCACAGACAGAATATCTAAAACTTTGATCTATAATTCACTGAAAGTCGGTGAACAAATGAGAGAATCTGAGCTCCCACTGTCTCTTCCAGCCATGTCTGCCTTAAAAGTCAAATCACTGCAAATGTATCTAAACCTTTGATGTGAAGTTGAACAATTTAGTACGTCAGAATAAGCTCAATCTTGAGTTGATGTGAAATGTAAATGTTCCATCCCTGCAAGGCAGCGCCGGTCAGTGCCGTCTGTGCTGGGAATGAATGAAAGTCAGAACGCAAGGCAACAGACAAGTAAGATTGCATAAGATTTTTTATTTTGATTTCACATTACAAGACATAGACACACACATAATTTGCATGCTTAGGTTTAATTCTTCTTTTTCTGTACAAAAATAATATTTACGTTGTAGATGAGACAAAATACGAAATAAATAAACGGGAACAGTCATCCTGCAGGGCTCCAAGAGATTCAGTGTCTCCTGAAAGTTGAGGCCCGATGGGCCACAGGTCTGCTCCTTTCAGAACCTTCCTCTTGCCGCGAGTGTCAGGCCTTCAACGTTGTTTGGGGCATGCATTGTCAGGTCTGTGTGCCTCACATCAGCCGTCAGGTTGAATAAGCTCTCAATCATTTGACGCCGAAGAGCCTGCTCACCAGCAGGAGTAGGAGAACAGCGGATATTGGCTCCATTCGCCCACGTTGCCATGATGATAGCCATGGTGCACCGCTTGCGTGGTGTAGTCGGCGGTCAGTGGGTGAGGAGGGGGATACTGCGCAGGTCCCGGCCCGCTCCACTGGCCCAGCGGCTGTTCCGTGCTGTAGGGGCTGTAAATGTGGTGGCCGATGACCCCCGGCTTGCCGGCCTGGGCCATGGTCATGTTCAGCACTCCGCTGTAGTCCTGGGGGCCCGGCAGGGGCTGGGGTCCGCAGTGCGAAGGGCCAGGCTTCGAGGAGTCGTGATCGGGGACGGTGGCAATGTCGGTAACTCTGGACTCGAAGCTGCTCCGTCCAGATCCGGTGACGCTGCTGCCGACGCTGGAGGAGGGGGACGGAGACTTTCCGTACTCATGGGCCCTGGAGAGCGTGATGGGAGTGAATGTCCGGTTCAACGGAACAGAGTTTTACTATTTGACGCGTTCAGTCGGCGGTTTTCACCTGTACGGCTGGTAGGACGCAGGAGCGGGAACGAGCTGCTCCGTGTTGTAGATATCTCTTGTGTCGGCCCCAGCGGGAGAGTCGGTCCTCACACCCTGCTGCCTCTCAGCGCCCCAGGGGGAGTACCGCTCTTCCTTTACAGCATCCTCGTCTTTCCTTTTGGCCAGGCGCCCCTCTTCTCCATCATAACCATCATACGATGACTGGCAGAACCCTGAAAAGGCACAAAGCAATGGATGACTTCAAAAAAAATGCAAGGAGTGCTGTGGTGGTGCAGGGGTTAAGCACAACCCACATATGGAGGCCTTAGTCCTGTCGCAGGCTCAATTCCTGGCCTCGCGACCTTTGCCGCATGTCTTCCCCCTTCTCTTATTGCCCACTTTCTTGTCAATTCACTGTCAAATAAAGGCCACTGGAGCCAATAAAACCTTAAAAAATTACAAGAAGTAAATTTATGTAGCCTAAAGCTGTACCTGGTGAACTGCTGTCCTTGGAGTCCTCGTTCAACACGCCTGGTAACTTGGCCCTTTTTTCTAGGCATGCCGGATTTTTGTTTGCATGCCTAAACAGAAGCATACATTTTTTTAGATAAATTTCACAAACACGATTTCTCACGCTGTGTTCAGCAGAATTGAGACCCACCTTTTTTTATTAGTGCCCTCATCTCTGAAACCCTTTGCAAATGGGTTGTGATTGATCTTCAGCTTTGTGATCTGTCCCGAACAGAATCAAATTAAAACCAACATCTGCTGGCCTCACTGGAAGACAATCAAGGTTTTGTGGAGTCAATCGGACTCACCTTGGTGTTCTGGTAGGCAGTGACTGCAGTGAAGGACGTTTCTGGGAAGGTGAAAGTCTGGAACACACTCCAGCGGACGCTGAACAGGTCGTCTGCTTGGACAACGTGGAAACGAGGGTGGTAACGATGCATTGAGTGCAAGATGATCTGTAGACAAGTCAGGGTAAGATTACCCCCAAAGATCTTTTTAAACTCAACATCAAATGGAAAATCCCTTGATTATTTAACGCTCACATGCCCATGCTGGTCGAGTGTGTTGTTGGTGAGCTTGAGCTTGAGGAACGTGATGCTTTGCTTCATCCAGTGGCTCCCTAAGGCCGGAGAGTCTGGGTGGAGGTAAGTCCTGCAGGGAGGCTGAGGCTCCGCTTTTCCGGCCACCTCCCATTTCTCTTTATTCCACTGCAGGGGAGGAGACGGGTCGTAAGTCAATCAGCCTCGAAGAAAAGGTGATTTTCATAAGCAACTTCATCTTCCCTAACTTCCCACGATTGCTCCGAGAGTGATGGCTGCAGGATACCACCCACGGAGGCAGGGGGTAGTACAGTGAGCTCCCAGCAGGAGATAGAAAAACAGGAAGAGATAGGGGTCTTTGATGTGCAACGTCAGGGGCGGGGGGTGATAAACAGGGGGTATCTGCTAACCACAGAGGGAGCTTTACAAGTCAAGACAACGCAGTTATAATTTATAGGCTTTACCTTATACCTGAAGCCATCCTCTGGAACCATGTCAACCAGTAAGATGTACTTGGCACACTGAATAAGACCAGATAAATTCACTTTACAGTGTGGGAACATCCTCCTGAAAACACAAGAGAATACACAAATGTGGAAAAGTAACATCTTTCTGAATATTTTTGTGTGGAAATTCCCGTCTCACCTGCCCGGTTTGGTGATTATCATCTCCGTTCCAATTTCATGGAATGTCTTCCACAGTTCAAGGTCTTCCAGAGTCATCCTGATGCTGCCCTGGAGGTAGGCGTCAGGGCCGGCGGCCATGGAGGCAGGAGGTGGACCGCTGAAGTTAGACTTCAGCTCTGCGGCAAAGTAAGATTTACTAATGACATTTGACACCAAAAGTGATTGAGTTTTTGGTCAGCGATGAACTGAGGAGAACAGGTTCAACTCTGCTTTACATTTCAATAAAAAGGAGTCGGGAACTCACCCCGGATGGACTGCATTTTCCAGTTTCAGTGGCCAGACAGGAGAAGTTTGGGATTTCTATGCATGAAAGGATATTGAGGAATCCAAAAGTTGGATAAATCCAAAAACGTAGCCCCCTGCCGTCCACCCCCCCCCGGTCTCATGAGTTGAAGACAAATCCAGCAGCTTAAGATCAGTCCAAACAGCTCCGTCCTGTCGCATCAGATGGATGCTGCCAGAGAGAGTGACCATGACTTTTAAGGGGGACCTTTTGGTAGGCGGAGCCAGGAGGGCCATTCCCAGGCTTTGAAGTGACACAATGATGAGTCAGGGTCCCGCTGTGATTGGAGGGGTGCTGGAAATCAAAGAGACTTAACAGAGCCCTGACACCGTCCCCACAGGAAGGGGGAAGGAGGAAATGCGCCTTTATTAACTGCTAAGAGACTTTAAAACAAATATGGACGGACTTTCCTGCTGCAGATCGGGCTCTGGCGGCGGCTCCAGAAACCGGTGTAAATATCTTTGACACGTACATAACCGATCGCAGAAATGCCACTTAGTGTGTTTGTGTAACATGGTAAAGACTCAGCGAGAGTTATTTGACGCAATCAGGAGAAATGGAGTGGAAAGGGTTGTCAAGTGGAATGTCTCACCGTTTTCTCAAAAAGAAAAAAAAGATCTTTTTTCTTTTTCTGGAGCACAAAAGTAATGCACGTCGTAAGATGGAGAACGTGCTGATGTGAAAGTGGGTAAAACGTCACATTACATAACAATCCCCTTTTTACGCTTCTTTTCTCTCTCCTTTCTCTACCAAATTACAGAGTGGGTGGGGAAACTGTGTGAATCCATAATGGTGTGGTGACACAATGCATTGTTCCTGCAGGTAAGTCGTACCTGAGGGCATCCTCAGATGGGACCGCGGGGGGAAGTGGTGGGGGTACGATGCTGGCGGTTGTGTATTGGATGGTCTAGACAGACCCATGCCTCTGACAGATAATCTCATTAAGATAGTTTCCCCTTGAAGAAGCCGGTTTCTGCCTGAGGAGAAAGCCCAGCGTATTGGTGGGGAATTAGCAGCCAGTTGGCATCACGAGCTCAAAGTCAGGCATGAATGACGGGCTCCTGCAGGGTCAGGAGAGTAAACCCCGGCTCTCCTACTTGACATCCACTTCCAGGTAAAATCCACAGGTGTCGCAGTTCTTCGTAGCGCTTTGCTGCAGGCGTTAACATAGAAGGGGGGGAAAAAATGACAATCTCCTTTCTCGTTTCCTGTGGCATGGATTGAATTCATCTCCTCTCAGGCTAAGAAACACAAACCGTATAGGTTTCCTCTTTGGGTTCTCGTGTCTGCGTTGCATACAATGGCCTTTGTAAGCGCAGCTTTTTACAGCCCTGCATCCTACGGCCCTATTACTGTAAGAATAACTAAGTAAATGCTTGAAAGCGATACGCAGACGTGCGGTTGGAGAGACGGCTTGCAAAAACACTGGAACGCTTGTGCAGTTTGTCCTGCCAATCACAACAAACTGTTTTGTATTTTATTAGCATTTTATGTTATAGTTTAACACGGTGCAGTGCTTAAATATGAGGTGTCAAAATATTCAACAAGTATAATTCAAGGTCTTCAGGCGGACGAGAGTTTGATTCCCACCTCCCCGAAATGAACCAGGCTTTCAAAGCAAACTGTAGTTTGACTAAAGTGGACTAAACAGTGTGAATGCAGAAAGCCTACATGTGTAAACCCAAATGAATCTGCAATTTAAGCAAAACGTACATGGTGTTCAGAGAGAACTCATATTATTTGTTTGTATTTTAAAAAATGTTGTTATATTGACGTGTGTGTGTCCTTAATAAATGATGATGATGATAAGAGCTGATTGCAAAAGCACACCGCACTTTTCAGATTATTCATTTATTTTTACTTTTGACAACCACATCCACTTCATAGTTATCCGCCATCTTTGCCTCTCACATAAAATCGCATAAAAAGTTGCTTTTTGTTGTGCAACACAAAAGGTGGGAGTTGAGTGCGTCTGCTGTGCACTGGACGTGTCCACGAAAGAGTGCAAGACGCTCCGTCCCTCCCCACCACCTCCACCCACTGCGAACATATTGACGGGCTCTGAGCAGAGATCAATGTGAAATAAAATGGTGAGCGTTCGTTCGGGTTGTAAAGAGGCACTTAAAGATGCGACGCGGTCATTTTACTGCGCTGATGTCTCCCAGCGCTCCTCCGTTCACTGAAACTGGGCAGCGTCGGCCTGGAGGACACTTGTGTGTGTGTGTGTGTGTGTGTGTGTGTGTGTGTGTGTGTGTGTGTGTGTGTGTGTGTGTGTGTGTGTGTGTGTGTGCATGTGTGTATATGTGTGAGAGACCCAGAAGTTGTCGGCGAGTTATTAATCGCTCTCCTCTCACTGCCTCAAAGGTCATAGAGGTCGCGAGGGCGAAGGAGGAGGGAAGGACGGTGCCTTTGGGAATCAAAGAGAGAGATCGGGTCTCTTCGGGTCACGGTGTCGGGGCCCAGAGGTGCACCTGTCGGCAGCAGCAGCGTGAGCCTTGTGACTCACAGGTGTCTAAAGGTGACAGGTGTGACCGCTGCAAGGCCAGCCGTGGCAGAGGGGGGAGGGTTACGTAACATCCATCCTGCAGGGAGGTTTGGACGGAGCGGCGAGTCAGTGCGGCTGACAGCAGGAGGCCAAAGCTCTGCAAAAAACATCTGACCGAGTATTTCTGGTGTCTAGTGGAAATATCTTGGAATTAAAACAGAGCTAACGTACAAGTAACTTTTTTTTTTTTAGCAAGATAAAGGCAGATATTTTAGGTAAATAATTACTTAATATTGATTAAAACATACTAGCAGATTATCTCACTCATGGGAAAAATGTTTTGTTGTAAGCGGAACTAGAGCTTTTTCATCAGCGTTAAGGAATTATTGACCTAAAACGAGTCTCCTGCTGACATTAAAGGTTTTTGTTGTTGAGCTCCGGGTCCCTACAGAAACACAGCGAGTCTCGTCCTCCGTTGTCCCTCATATCTGAATCCTTCCCTGGGTAAATTCCAGTCCTCCTCTTTTTTCTCTTCTCTGCAGCCATTTGCCCTGGCTGCACGGAGCTCTCTGTGCGCTCTTCCAGTTAACAGCTGCCAATATACAGCCAGGGCCCAGGGATCAGACGGCTCTGCAGCGGGGCCCGTAAAGGGCCCCTGGAGTGGACTGACGAGAAATCTCACACCCTTCGATCACATCAGCCACGCAGCGACGGCCTTTTGATGGAAAACCAGATGCTTTCTTTTCTTGCTGTAGAGAAAGTGGAGCCACGGATTGGAAACATGAAACTTTTTACTATATTTTTCACTCAATTGTTGAAGTAAAACATCCAACAAATGTAGTATTTAAACAATATATATATATGCATGCCCCCTGCAGATTTGTTCTGTTTCTGCTTTTTTTGGGGGGGGTCACACCTTTAATGCTTCAAAAGTGTCCAGTTCGCAATAACGGGCGTTAATCGCTTACAAAAGTGAGGAAGAATAACTGAGTCACATTTGAAAGGTGATGATGCCGCGACCTCTTGATTGGAGGTCTGGACTTGGACTAAGCCACTCCAGCACTTCAGAAGTGGACTTGTTGATGTTCTTGGGATCAGTAGCTGTGAATGTTTGACTCATTTTGAAAAAAAAAAAAGAAATTGTGGCGCTTCAATTCAGTGGCGGTTTCTGAGATGGGCAAAATGGACAACTGCCCAGGGCGTCATCTTGTAGAAACATTTTAGCTTTTTAAAATTTGCCACGTTTCTGTTAAGCAAATTTATTTTAGTAGTTTTGATTCGAACAATTTTAAGGTCAATGGAAGCGCAGCTAAAATCTTTTTAGCCTAATCCAACAGATCAAAAGGCAACAAACAGAGCCAGGGAATCAGCTGATGGATGTTAATGACTTTATTTCTCATCTATTCTTTAATTCAGATCTTTTAACCTTCATGTTGTCATTTGGGCTCCATTTATGCGATTCCAAAATTTCACAGGTTAGGAAGAAACTAGTCAACTTTTGAACTAAAAGACAAAAAAAAAAAAAAATATATATGTATATATATATATATATATATATATATATATATATATATATATATATATATATATATATATATATATATATATGTATTCAGCTTGATTTGGATCATTTGTTTTCCTTAAATAATTAAGTCATCTGAAATAATTTTTCTATCTAGTCGGCTTATTTTTGTCTAATTGAAAAACAAATTTTTGGAGCGATCCGAAACATTGAAGTGTGCCGAAAAGAATGACTGCAAGCTTTTTATATGCTGACATAATTGGGAGCAACACACCCAGCAGAAAGACAAGAACTACAGCATCTCAAAAGCACGCAGCAGGGGCCGGGCAGGCAGGCTCACATTTGGCCCTCCGCATAAGAAAACAAACCTCACATCTAGTTTTCCTGGCAAAGGGAGCAAATGACAACTTCACAGCACTTCATAAGAAACTCCTGGAAGTTGCTAATGAAGACTAATGACTTCCCTCGCGTCAGACAGTTCACACCACGGTGTACGGGCCCTTTGAGCAGCAGCTCCACGTCAGCGGGGAGGTCTGCCAGCTGCTCAACAGGGAGGTGAAAGAATATCACATTTAATGTTTGATCAGTGTTTTGAATGATAACACTCTGCTTTTATTTATTGAAGGATGTCTCTTAAAATGTGGAGCAGCGACTAAGCTTTAATTTTCCTCATGCTGTTTTCATTTTCATGTCGCTCTGTTTTGAAAAACATTTTTACTTTCATAATGGTATTAGAAGTGTTGTATAGTTCTAATAGACTTGCATAAATTGTTTGTGTCGTTTTAAGTATCTAAAAAATATCTAATAAAATCCATGAATGCACACGGCATTCAGTCGAATCGATTTTGTTTTGGCAGCGTTTTCCAAAACATGATAAGAAGAGATGTCTGTGGTGGTGGGGGGGAAGGGTTTGGGTGCCCAAGAGGAAGATCCCCCAGGGTGGAAAACATGGTAGAACCGCCACTGGACG